GTTCCAATGATGTATTACTCTTACCTTTATGAGCAAAAATGATGGCGTATGTTAAGTTTCCACTCTTATGAAAAAAATGCAAGTGATCGCGCTGGCGCCTCCATGTGCTGCAGAGCGCGCTTTAGCTTCCACTCTCCGCACAAACGACTGTATATACGTCTAACAGCACACATCTAGGTTACATTTTTTAATTAATATTTTGAATTGCATGAAATGTTTTATGTCTATAGATTTTATTTTAGGCAAGTCATGTTGATTTGAGAAGGCTAAATTGATCAAACATATATGCTCAACTCAGTCCGCCGCTGGCCGCTTGGTCGTTACTTTAAAAAAAAAAAACTTGAATTTAACAAACATAAAATGTTCCAAACATATTTCTAAATTAACTTAATAAAGAAACAAAAAGAAATATAACCACTTTGCCATTAAAAACCAAAACTGGACTAGCCTATTTGCTGCAACAGCAGCTGTATAAAGGGGAAGTAAGAGAGAGAGAGAAAAAAGACACGGTCTCTGTCAGACTCAGGCCGAGAATATTCTGATAAGCTGTTGGAAGCCCCCCCGCCTCCCCCCGACTCGGTGGGCCCACAATACGCCCGGGCCCATATGCACCTGCATACAAGACGCTACGCCCCTGCACAGGTGCTTCTCTATCACAGGCACGTGTGACCAACAATGGCGTCGGTGAACTGCAATGAACAATAATCACGCGGTTCATTTATAACTAGATCGAAATACAAATGAAAAAGGGAAATAAACACAGTTTACTGCAACTAAATAACCATTTTGCATCTTATTATGGAGTTTTTATACATTCTTTTTACCATTGATTATATTATGCTGACTCACCGAGTAAATTGTGACTCAACAATATTCAATCGGCTTCTTCAGATACTGGATGGCTCGAAATAACTGAATTCTAATGCTTTCGTAGACCTTTCGGAAGATTTTTAATCTATATTTATTTAAATTTGATCGCGAAGATCAGATCATGTCTTTTCTTCTCTGTCAGGCTCGTCTCTCTTCGGTCATTGCGCATGCTCGTCGACATGCAGGCTCTCATTGGTCAATAACTAATCTTCTAAATAGGATAAATTGACTCATTTTTAAATGTTCTTTAAAAACTTCTACACTTCTTTTCAACTTTTATTAGAGAAATATGATGTTACTAAACTGTGAATAAATTAAATAATTCCTTACGCTTCATTTAACCGGGGTTACATTTGGGTCTGTCACAACCTTCTATAAGCAAAGTGATCACACAAACAATTACAGCACTTTCAGAAACTTATTTTGTCACTGTTCATTTCCTATAAAAAGCGTTAAGTAAGACAGCATGGTAAATAAAAAACAAGGAATATATATGCATATATAATGTCATATGATGTTGCTAAAAAGAACATTATTTTGTATATTTGTGTTTATGCGGTTTAAAGTAAAAGAAAAAAAAAAACATTATTTTCCACATACTGTACATTATTGTTTCTCCTCTATGCCCCGCCTTTCTGAAACGCGTAGATTTTTACAAAGCTCATCGGTCTGAAAAGCGAGGTATGCTCTGATTGGCCAGCTATCCAGTGCGTTGTGATTGGCCGAATACCTCAAGTGTGTGACGGATATGTTACACCCCTACCATACTGTGATGCCCTGTCTGGCAGGAGCAACGATTAAAAAACATGAAAACCCATTACAAACGAGGCATTTGTTGCATCCAGTGGGGACATAATTACGAATTATAATGACCTATACTGTCTTTTTATGCGTTGCGTTGCATCGCGCCGTGTAAACATAAAACCATGTATGCATTTGTGATCGGAGAAATGACAAACAA